TTTTATGGAAATAAAAATAGGCACAATTCTTATGGAAAGTGTATGGTCACTGGGGTGCTTGGCATTTTGAAGTTTGAAATTAGTTCATTTAATTTAAACGTCTGAAGCTATACAACAACATATTAACAACACACACATTTTTTCCTTCTGCAGCTGCATCATTATACCATTCCAAGTCTTGCATTTCCTTAAATGGCTTCCATAACAATCTCCCATTAACGCAGTTACTGGCAGATATTATTCTTGCTTTGCTCTCATTTTAGGAGTCATAACTGATAGTAAATCTCACTCTTTCTGTGAGCGTGCTCCCATTATTTAGATATTCAGAAGCCTCTTTGTAATGTGAATTTGCTTTTTGCTGCTGAGAGGCAATGCCCTCTGTAAAGCCTAATTACATTTTTCTGTTTGTTTTTAAACTTCAAGAAGTTACATGCTGTTTGCAAAGTATAACTTTATATTTTGCTAAAATAGCCCACATTACATGGAAACCATTAATGTATTAATGAAAGGGCAGAGAGCATAGGTGACAAATTAATTAAAATATCTACCGAATGTGTTGATTGATCCATAAATCTTGGGTAGTATGGATCACATGAGCTTCTATTGGACATAGTGAGAACATATATCTGATGTAGTGATGACTGAGAGTTGCTATTTTGATGCTTTTTTTAGTGAGCTATGTAAGACGTATTGTTGCTCTTGGGTAGGATTTATAGTGGGCATATCACAATTGGCTGCTTTATTGGCTGCCTCAGTGGAAAAGTCTGGGATTGAAGAATGGGCATGGAAAGTGAAATAACATTTTACTTGTTAGGTCAGAATTATTATGGAATTTTACTCTTACTCTGCCCGTGCTGTAATTCATCTGTGTGCAAGCGGATTTAGTTTTTCATTGCTGTCAGTATTGATCTCTAATGAGCCTTGCCCATGGATTTTGAAGAAAATCACTCCAATTAAAAACAATGCAGTATGTCACCTGTTTGTACCTCACAGATTATGTAGGAGGTGCTAAATCACATTTAAAAAGAGAACTTTATAAAGTCTGCTTATGAATAAATTGGATAGTATATACTGATACTTTTATTACAGGTATTTTTATGAATTTAGAAGTTAAAATTTAAAATAAATAAATCAATAAAATCAGAAACCAAAAAAAGCCAACCCAAAACCCAAGGTCATATGTTTTAATACTTGTGAGAGTTCAGGTATCATCCAGTCTGTAGCAGAGATTACTTTTCTTCATACTTCTTCCACCATGCTTTGAGTTCACAAGGTAGCTCTTCAGTCCTTATTCTTTACTAATTCAAAATTAATGTCAGGACTTGCTGAACAGCCACTTATGCTATTCCCATAAATAAATGTGATTATTGTCAAATAATTTCACTTGCTGCCCTTACACAAATTTGTACATTGGTCTTCAGCAATCTGAGCAATGTCCTTATCCTGTTCTATCAGTTTGCTGAAATAGATTCTTTGTGGAGAAAGACTATGAGTGTATACAGATAAATACATTGTTTATTTTAGCAGATTTCAATTATATTCTCAGGGAGAAGAGCTCTTTTTCAAGTCTAAATATTTGTATTTTTTCCAAAGTAAAAATTTACAACTAAAACATACTATTTTGTTTCAGCATGGCCAGAATACTCATTGCCTTTATCTTAAAAGTCAGCCTGTTGATACTTTACTGGCTATAAAATGTAGTTCTAGACATAGTTTAAAGCTTTCTTTTTTAATTGCTTACCAATTTGTGTTGGCATTTGCAGTGCAGACATACTTTTGCTTGCCCTTTTTTGTTGTTTTAAGAACCAGGACTTACTTTGATACAAAGATACTGAATTGTTATTGAGCCCTCAAACTATTTTCATGCTGCAGTTCTGTGTGAAATTAGTGTTAACTGCACAATGGTAGGATCATTTGCAGCACCTTTTCTTCTTAGCATAAGATTGAGGGAACCTGAAGGCTGTAAGTAGATGGAAAAAAATAAGTTCACTAAGCTTGCACACTGAGGATGATGATCTCTTGAGTATGTCTGAAAGTAGTAGTTGTTGGCTCGCTTTTAAATAAACTGTAGTTTGCAGAGTTGACATTGTGTGTTTTGTTCACAATTTATAGTGTTTATGGGGTGAGGAGGTAACACAGCTCGGGTAGGTGGAATACAGATGTCCCTTTGCACTGGAAAAGAAAGAAAGAAAGAAATGACTGTGCATGAATGGAAAATAAAGACACAAAGTGGTCTGAAGTCAGAGGATGGCATGTTGTTCTGGGCCGCATCGGGTGGTTGTAGCTATTATGTTGACCTTTAGAGAGTTTTCTTTTACCCTTTGGGGGATGGAGGGTTGAGCGGCGATGCTGGAAAGTGGCAAGTGTGCAGAGTGATGGCTGTGGTGCATTCTGTTTTTATGTCATGGCTCATGCTGATAATTTGTGTAATAATCTGAGACCGAGAACGGTTCTTCATGTAGGCCTTTGCGCTAGGCCCCTTCTTCATGTAGGCCTCTGCGCTAGGCCGACCTGCAGGCCTTTGGGCACCGCCATTAGCAGCACTGTGTCACCGTGAAAGCTGGCTTTATCCAAGAGGTGTTTCTCTTGGATTCCGGTGGAAATTTGCATGGGAATAGGTGCTAGCATTGCTTTTCGCCCCAGTGTTGGTGTTCCTTTATTTCAAGCTGCAGAAAGGGCTTGAGAAGGGAAGGCAAGGACGAATAGGTGATTTCGTCGTCCATCGCTTCACGTCCATCACTTTTCTTCACTGACCATCTAGTTTAGTTTTAGGAATAAATCTGGAATATGCTAGATTATACTTCTGCTTGGATATGTCAGCTTGTCCCTAGTTGCTGTATTATTCAAGAGTTTTGCTTGGAAAGGAAGATCTAGTTGGTAGTGTTTTGAAGGTAGTGCTTCTACTGTGAAACTATAATATACTGACTTCGTTTTCAGGCAGTATTATTAGTATTATTAAATAGAATAGAATAAATGAAAATCAGCAAAATTCGTCGTTTCTGTTCTTGCCATGTGTCGCCGTACAGACCACAGTGTCAGGGTTACAGAATCACATGGGGTCGGAAGGGACCTCTGGAGATCACCCAGTCCAACCCCCTGCCAGAGCAGGGTCACCCAGAACAGGTTGCACAGGAACATGTCCAGATGGGTTTGAATGTCTCCAGAGAAGGAGACTCCACCACCTCTCTGGGCAGCCTCTGCCAGGGCTCTGCCACCCTCACAGGAAAGAAGTTCCTCCTCATGTTTAGATGGAACTTCTTATGTTCAAGTTTGTGCCCATTTGTTCCCTCTTGTCCTGTCCCTGGGCACCACTGAAAAAAGCCTGGCCCCATCCTCCTGACACCCACCCTTTCAGTATCTATAGGTGTTGATCAGATCCCCCCTCAGTCTTCTCTTCTCCAGACTAAAAAGACCCAAGTTCCTCCCTTTCCTCACCAGAGAGATGTTCTAGTCCCCTCATCATCTTTGTAGCCCTCTGCTGTACCCTCTCCAGCAGTTCCCTGGGTCAGGAGTGATGTTACTTGTGTGCAGACTCCTTGAGGTGGGAGCACCCCCAAAAATTAACAGTAGGAGAATGCCAGTGAGCAGCTATGCTAGTTGTCCAGAAACTAAATGTTAGTAGAGTAGTCATCCTCATTTGCTGGCGTGCAGAGCCAAAGGACAGGAGCTGAGTGGGAAATGCTCCTGTCTGCATGGGCATTCTCATCATTACTGCTCCCATGGTGGAAAAGGTCTCCCCACCATGGGCTGGGGCTGCAGCCCCCGTTGGCGGGCAAGACAGCAGCTTCACCTTGGTGTGTCTCTCTGAAATGCAGGTGTCTTGAGAGATGCTGTAAAACCTTGCTAAATCACCAAAAGATCTAATAGTGTTTTACTCAAAATTTTATTCTAAGACAAGATGATGTTTTCTGTGAATGAGGACCCGCTCGAAACCTCGTGTTTGTGAGCTGTAGAGCTTGTGTGCTTCTTGGGCATTTCTGAGGGAAAAAATGTATTCATATCTTCTGGGTTTATATTATATATAAGAGTACTTTTTATTAGTGATGCCCCTGAATAGCCTGTTACTGTAGTGCTATCCTGCCTGTTACTGAAAGAACTTAAGCAGAGTTTGTTTGAAGAGGGTTTCTGTGAGATGGCAGAAACAACAGAAAGAATGAAGTTGTTTCTAAATTCCATTTCTCTTGAGGCATAATTAGTGTGCTTTTTCTTGCCTGTTGATGACTCGTGTAGTGTTATCTTGCATTTTCTTTATCTTCTGCCTTTTTGTTTGTCAGAATAAGAAGGTAGAAAATATTTTTATTTTTTTTTTGGTAGTTTGCTTGGTTACATTTGACATAAAGTACTGTTTGACCTATAAACAGAAATGCAGGTATAATATTTATGTGGGCAGTGGCATGGTCCTCTTCCCTGAAGAAATGTGAATTACCGTGCAGCCTATGTCCTCTGTTGCTGCTGGACTCAAGCTCTACAGTAATGAAGAGCTTTCTGTTTCTTTGGCTGCTGATACTCATCACTTGGGTCAGGAGTGTTGTAAGTGGAGACTCGGAGAAGAAACGTGCTTCTCTATGTACAGCTTTTAATGATGGTTGAAAGACATTTTATAAGAACACCAGTTTCTCCTTTTTAGAGATTTGAAACTACTGTGTTATAAAGTCAAACCAGTCAAGCAGTCAAGCAAAAAAGGAACCAGCCACTTTCGCAAAGAGTTCCCACAGATTTTTTTTTGTGAAAATAAAGGCTGTGTACCCTGTAAAGTTAATGTAAAAGTCTCAGTTGCTATCAGTGTGAATTTGTAGCAGGTAGAGAGGAAGTTGTGTGCCTGGAGTGATTGTGCAACTGGAAGGGGGTTGTAGTTATGTCTGGCAAAGCAGATAATGCTCTGCAAAGTTTGTGTTTCTCTCCTTGTGTTGTGCTTAAGACTGTGATGTGCTAAGCATCATGTTTTTATTTTTCTGTGCCTGTCTCCAAAAAAAGGCTAATATTTTTCTCTCTGTTTTGTTCCCAGCACACTTGAGATGTATCTGAGCAGTGAGGCTCCCTGCACGCACAGCTCCTAGAAATCGTTGCCTGCCTCGCCGAGTCTTGGTGAGTTGTCTTTATGCTATTGCATTTAATTCAACTCTATTAGAGTTTTGTCTTCTTCACTGGGGAATTTAATGTGAGATGTCTTAAATTGATTGTGTGGCTACAGCAGAACAAGCCTTGGTTTTAAGTAATGTGGGATGTTATACAGTGAGTCAAAATGCAAACATTTTGGAGACTTTGGAAAATAATGCCCAGACTGGTTATGGAAGTGGGGAACTTGCTTTAGTGCCAGGAGCAGGAATGGGACTCTCTGCTGAGAAAGGCTGAAGGGATCAACATGTGATGTTCTTTCACGTTCAGTTTGTTTGATATTTTATACTGCAACTAAGAAATTGACATTTTTCAAATGTGCTGATTATGGTCTGTCTCGTGGCAAAGGTTGAGAATGAAATAATAGAAGCTTTCCCACCCAACTATCTGCGCTAATAAATTACTTAAATTGAGGATTGAAATCGGTATAATGACACTGATGACTTAAAACTGCTTGTTGCTCAAGAATTACTGTCTGATGACTCCATCAGGCAGTGCTGTGCCTGTTTAACTCCACTCACAAGAAGGGATAATACCGCTGAGAATTAGAAAAAGGGACCCCTGCGGATTGTTTAAATGCAGACTAATAATAGTTTGGTAGTGCAGTGAAAGTAAGTAGAATATAAATGCCGTATTTTTATTTTAGGTGTGTTTAATATATCAGTATACTCGCTTGGTATAAATCTTTACAAATATGCATTTGAGACTTCATGTGAGAACCTTTTCAGGGCACTCATGAATAAATGTTGTCTTTTAACACGTAGAGTGACTTATTAAGGTCAGAAATATGTATTTTTGAGGCTTGCACACTAAATATAGAGGTGGGAAATGAGCCTGCTGAAAAGGTTTTTAGTTGTTTGGGGGATAACTGGTTATAAAATGCCAACCGTTTATGGGTGAAATTATGTATGTCCACACCAAGTATCATTTCCTCTTTTGTTAATTATGTTGAGCAATTTTTGAAATCTAAAGGTGCTTTTCTTTAAACTTACTGATTTTTCTAGCATCAGTGAATGAAAACAGATTAAGAAGCTTTCCAGTGCTTCTGTTTTTTTCTGATAAAACAATTTGTAGTTCATTGCATTCAATGGAGGTTATAATGCTGGTTAATAGTTTGTTTATGTATTGTATTAACTTGAAAATGCTCAGCCACATAGATGTTATTACTTATTTACACTTATTACTTACACGATATTACTTATTATTTATTTACACTACTTATCTGGTCTGCATAATGTTCATAATATGCACATGCAGGTCTTCTTGATGGTAAGCTGCTTTTGTGATCGTTAAAGCAAATTGTTTCCAAAAAAACATAGGAAACAGTAAAAAATCTAAAATATTTTTTCTTCTAGCGTATAGGACTCTCAATAGAATGAGTGAGGTATGTGTGAGAAAGAAAGAGGAAAATGTCACTGCCAGAATTTTCCAAAGAGAATATGAGATTTTGTTGTCATGTTGATGGTATGGTTGTTTTCAGTTGTCTTGATTGTAATTTTTCCATTAAAAAAGGAATGCACTAGCTAAAGACTGGAAAAGGTTGATGTTCGAATGCAAATCAATTTGCATCCAATTGCCTCCCCACCCCAGTTAATATATGTGGGCAAGCCTCCCTCCCCTCTTTTGCTTAGTCTTAGTGGTCCTCTCCAGTGGTTCCCTGTCCTCCTTGAACTGGGGAGCCCAGAACTGGACACAGTGCTCCAGATCTGGGCTCCCCAGTTCAAGAAGGACAGGGAACTGCTGGAGAGGGGACAGCAGAGGCTACAAAGATGATGAGGGGACCAGAACATCTCTCTGATGAGGAAAGGCTGAGGGACTTGGGTCTGTTTAGTCTGGAGAAGAGAAGGCTGAGGGGGATCTGATCAACACCTATAAATACTGAAAGGGTGGGTGTCAGGAGGATGGGGCCAGACTCTACAGGTCCCTTCCAACCCCCATGTAATTCTGTGATTCTGTGTTGCTACATTCTTCACCAAAATGATAAGTTTGGTTGCTACTGTGTCAAAAAGTAATCCAGTACCTTTCCAGTTACTGAGTAAAACAGAGTTGCTGTGTTTGAAAAGTTTGAAACCTTCAGGAAGAGCAAATAGTTGATAAATACGTGTCTGCGAGGTCTGCGGTATGATAGCGAGGGAGGAAACCGCCGTAAAAAGCAGATTGTTAGTTGAGGTGGTGGGAAAAGTAGCTGCTGTGTGTTACCAAACAGCAGTGCAATTAGGATGGTGAGAAGTTTAGACTTTAAAAAAAACAAAACCAAATAGAAAAAAATACTAACTTTAATTCCTAGTCTAAAAGTTTTCAGTCAGAAAACATGTTTGTGTTTTTTTTTTTCTCTCTCTCTCTTTCTCCTTTTTCTTTTTGCATGAAACGGTTTTCTTTGCAAGGAACACTTTCTCAGCAAAAAAAGAGCATAGATTAGAGAAATCTCAGTTTTCTGTCACTCTCGATGGGGAGAGTGTGTTTCAATCTAACTTTGTAGCGATTTCATTGGCGTTTGTGTTGTAGTTACTGTCAAGTGTGATAGATAGAAAATATTTGTATGTCTGTTTGTTCTGAGTTATAGTGCTCCTTATTGTTGTTTGCAGCAGCAGTAGATAAAGAAAATTCTGACAGATGTCTCATTTTTGACTCTGTCCTCCTAATACATGTGTGTGTAAAGGGAACGCTGTCAGAAAATGAAGTGCAATACTGAAAGTAAAGAGTGTCTTATGTTGAAACCAGTTTTTAAAGCCTTTAGTATTAGCTTTAAGGATGCAAGTGAGGAAAAGACAGTAGGTTCTGAGTCTCAAATCTGAATAAGAGAGAGCCAAGCCCAGTTGGGATGGTGCCTGCCTAGAGCTCTGGAAGTCCGTTCAGAGCACCCGAATTTCCACAGGAGCTGTGTTTCTGTGGAATACCTGAAATAAAATATAAGCATCTATCACAAGTATGGATAATCTTTACTGAATCAGATCTTCTCCTTTGCTGAGGGATCTGGGAGGGATAGTTAATCTCCGTGGAATTGGTTTGCGATAAATAAAGGGGATGTGTTCCCATCATTCCTAGGCCTCCAAACTGGGGGGTTGTGTTTTGCATGAAATGTGATGGGATTTTTCTGTTTTCAGTCGCTCCCGTTCAGGAGCGACGTTAGTTAACATGAATTGCCCATAAAGATGCCTGTAAAAGTGGATGCTTGATTATAGTGAATTTAATGCAATCAGTGTTAAAATGATACTCCGAATCTGAGAGCGACGTTCTGTGTGGGTGGTACAAGGAGAACAGAAGTATTGAGAAATGAGCACCTATTAAGATTTATACTGTTGCACCCCACAGTTTTTTAATATTATATTTTTTTTTCGCCCTAAAATTGGCAATGGTTTTTATTCTGTGGAAAAGCTGAAATTTACACAAATGCAAAAATATTATATTTATTTTTTTTTTGCCCTAAAATTGGCAATGGGAGCTTATGGTTTTTATTTTGTGGAAAAGCTGAAATTTACACAAATGCAATACATTGCATTTCCTTTAAAATCAATGAAAACTGAGAGTATTGTAGAGAGAAATTTCATCATGCTTGCAACTGAAGAACTAGATTTGTTAATAATGGAAGTGTTTTTAAAGTACTTTCGCAGTTATGAGGCCACAATGCTGAAATTCATTATAAATCCGGAGTAAACCATTCTTAAATATGTAAAACTCATTAATTACTGTAAATGGATTTAAATGGAGTGCTCGGTCAGTGAACTTTTTACCGAATTGATGGAATAAAACTTCATATATATCCAGGACTGTTGAAAACACTGTCATTCAGTTGACTGAAGCTTGCCTTTTGTATGTAGCTATATCCTGGAAGATTATTTTTAACATTTCAGTTTCAGTGAGATAAATAAAAATATTTAGGAAATGAGATGGCTAACTTGATTTTATTCACTTCTTAAATATTGGTTTTGACTTAGTAATGGGCTTTGCTAAGACTTTTTCATTTCTTACCTTGATAGGAACCTTTTTATGTGGGCAAAGGTATAGTATGTACGCATTTGCAGAAGAAATAGCCATCGTTATCATCTGTGGAAAATCAATATATATTTTAAATATAGATTGATGACATTGTACCACCAGTATTGGAGCCTGGGAATTCTAGAGGGGTCAAGAACAGGACAACTGAGCTCTTGCATCATCAAAGAAGATGAGATACATTTACTTGGGCAGATTTTCCTCTGGGCTTGCCTTTAGCCCCTGAATTGGGAAGAGTGAAATATTTACCCGACTCAGGGCTTGACAGTAAATAGTATTAATTAAATACAGGGCTTGAAAATGGCACTGGTATTTCAGATTAAGGCCAGTAGATTTTGCCTTGGCTTTCTGGAAATTGAATTCCAGTAGTCTGTTTATTTGACAGCATTATAGTACAATAATTTGAGTTTCATGGATATTTCTGTACATTAAAGTGGGGGAAGTTTTATAATGTCACACTGCGAGGGTGTTAGGCTCAGAAGACTTATGCGACTAGAATAGTAAGCAAATTTGCAGCTGGTTAATAAAAAGTCTGGCACAGTGTCTTTTCATCTGATTAATTTACCTTTAGTATTAACTGGACTGGCAAGAAATTAGAGGTTTTATTTTTAAAACAAACTTTGGATGTTGAAAAATTCAGATGAATGGTCTTAGATAAGTTACAGATGTTAAGAAGTTAAGTATTATGAAAATGATTTAGAAGTATTGGTGACTTTTACAGTATCGTTGTGAAAGGGCTCAAAATGTTTTGCAAAATCCTCCTTTTCTCATCTCTTCACAATCTCTCAGTGTGTAAATGTGTTGGTAAAACTCTATTTACAGCTGTGGCCAAGATAAATGAAGAATATGCTCTATTCTCTGTTTTTATGCTCTAGATTCTTCCCTTTTTTCATTATTGGTACTTTGGTTCCTTCAGTAATCCCAGTTCAATAAACTACAGTGTTCTGTGTACGCCCAACTGTGTATCTTTCCAAATG